AATAATTGGTCACAAATACCTCACCCACTCCATCCCATCCACAACCACTGCCATGATCGCGACGACCACCACTTCACCAGCACTGCCACAATCACTGCAACCTCACCACCTCAGCTAAAATCACGATGAACACCACCACCCAAACACCATAAAAAATCAGATCCAATATCATCAGCCACAGTACCCACCTCTATTTCTTCTGATCGCCAATTTCTGCTGTTAAAAATACCACCATTCAGCACTGCCCCATTTTTGCCTCAACCTACACTCGTAGTAAACTACCGCCACAACCACTGCTAAAAAGCCTTGACGCCACCACTCCGACGGCCACCTACCTCTGCAAGCTCCACAATTTGTTTACCTCTGCCATTGTAACATCCATTCCTGCACAAGAAGGAGCATCACTAAACGCAGACGTGTGAGCGTTGTGAGCAGGAGCACCTGTGAACGCAACTCGTTGCTTTACTGCACAGTGGTGTGGGTACCGTCCCGCAGCGACTCTCGCAGCGTCGAACGCCTTTGTGCACGGTACTCGTAGCACCGTTGTGATTTCTAGTATGGATGGATAGCCTCCTGTGACCATAGATCTGTAGCCTTGCGTGGCCTCCCGTTATGGTCCGGCGATTTGAGGGAGAAGAGAGGTGGTGGTGGTGGTCGGTTGGAATGGGAAGAGGGAGGAAGGGAGGGGGAGAGAGAGAGGAATGAAAAAATTAGGGTTTGATTTTGTGTAGGATTGATTTAAATAAAAAATAATTTAAAAATTATTAATTAAAACCTGATTTATTTATTATTAAAGTTGATTATGTATTTTTGAAAATGGTAACTTAAAAACCTTTGTGGGTGTAATTTCCTCAAAGGAAAATTTGATTAACTGTTCACTTTCAAAGTAACATTTTGAGAAATATCAAACCCCGTAAAATTTGCACCAATTAGGTCATAAATCAGATAATTAATAAAAATTAAAAGATAATATCAAAGGTTTTATTAAGTAATGATGTAATTATATCTATAATTATTTTTCCTACAATATCACTAATTTGTTACTCTCTCATACCATAACCTTATTTGACACCGTGACTATAACAAATTGTGAATTGCGGCTTGGTTCCTTAGGACTATACGCTAAACATTTAAATTGCGACCAAAGGTTGGAAAAGTGTGTCGCATAGTTGAAGATAATCTCACCATTTCGATTTTTTTGTAAATGAGACTTCTCACTTCTATGATAAACAACTGTGGTCACATCTTGTGGTGTTCAAATGGTAGCTATTCTATTGCGGAGGTTAAATACGTTTAAGTATTCGTCACGTGACAAATTGCCGTGACCATTAAAATTATGAAAGTAAAAATTGTCTGTGATTAATATGTTGCGACATGTGGTATGTTGTTGTCAGTATTAGACATCATTGACGTATCACAATATCAAATGTAATGTGATCTAGTGTAACTACTAACTGGTGATCTTTGTAGTGTTGATTTGTGAAAGATTTCAATCTACATCGTTATGAAAAAGTAACACAACATGCAAATTGTTGCAATTATAGAACCGTACCAAAAATATAAAGCAAATCATTGAAACAAAAGTTTCAATTATCTGAATTAATTAATTTCCCCAAATATCTAATTTTTCAAATTATTTTTTTGTGACTTGTTTTGTATTGAATGATGAATGAAAATAG